AACTATATCACCCACTTGGTATTTAGGGCAACAAATACATACCTTCCCCCCTGCCCCCCCCAAAGTAAGATCTTCAATCAGTAGTCATTAATTACAGTTAATTCTTAAAAGGTCCTTTGCACATGCCCCAGAATTTTGTCCAAGCAGAGTGTTGTATCTTCCTCCAGGAAAACTTACAGCACAAAATGTTGCTGTTTTATTAAATGTACTACTGGCAAATATATGCCAAATATATTTTTGTTGTTTTAGTCAATCATTTGTAATTTAATGATTATATTTAAATGTCATAAATGCTTATTTTATTGGAAAATTCTGGCTGTCTATCCTTTCTGGTTAGACTCATAGGTATCAGAAGCAGAAGCACATTGCTAGCTCAATTTTTGTGCCTGTAGCCCAAGGCAACTGCAGGACGAGATAATGTCCCATCAGCATTAACTGTTGTGCCGTGAAGTTCTGCTCCTAGCCAGTGTGGGGGAGTTAATTATGGTGAACATATGGATGTACAAGGAGATAGAATTTCTGTGCAAAGCCAGACATCAAATGGGATTGGAAAATACTTTTTGCACGGACATTGGAAGTTATATATCCTATTTCCACTCCTGGCGCAGCAAAAACAAACTTCTAAGGGAAGGGAGCTCAGAAAATACCCTGTATCCTGTTTGGCAGTGCCTGCTGTTGAAGTGGCTTAAGAGTGTATTGTCATCAGCTGTCTGCCCTGCTCCATTTTCCAACTCATTCTGTGATTCTGTGATTCTGTTATTTCATGGGCTGTGGAGTAGGACATACACTCTCCACTCCAGCTGGGGCAGGGGTAGTTTGGATCTGCCTGATAGCAGTTCTCTCTGTGTCCCTGCCCCAAGAGGAGTAAAGTCAGGAGGTGGCTGCAGACATGAAATGGGTGGGTGGTATTTGAAATTGCATGTGAGGAAATATGTCATATTGCATGTCCTGTGGAACCAAAGAAGTAAGCAGTACATTAGGAATCGGCCTGTGAGATGTTATTTTGTGCCAGCAGTCATGAGTCACTAAATCCAAGAATGAAGTTTGGTCTGTGCCATCTATGTGGTTCTCTGGGAAATTCTGTCCCAATAGACCACACAGTGGTTGAGGAAAACATTTGTTAAAATTTTGTGTTCTTAAGTGCGGTTACACAGAACGCCATATACTAAAAACCGTGTTGTTTCATAGTGGTTTCAGCACAGCAATTTAGTTTATGGCTTTGAAGCTGGGAACAATGTCACATGAAACATTAGGCTCCAAATTCCCTTGAGCAGCCCTTGTTCCACCACCCACCACACCCAGTGCTCTGAAACTGTTTCATTATAATCCCAGCAGCAACTCCATTCAGCTGTTTGAAGTCTGGGATTGAATTCTGCTATACAAACTTTTTTGCCTGTGGGCATGTTTTTCCTTCTTCAAAAGGAAGAATAAAGGTTGTAATATTTTAGTGGGCTGTGATTGTTTCTAGTGCAATTTGATGTCAGTGAAACTGTACTTAGGCAGTCTCTGGCATAAAGATGACAGAAAAGTAATACTTGAGGTGGCTTTAAAGTTTCAATGACAAAAAAAAAAAAAACCCAGAAAAAATAGGTTCTATTTACTGCTTAAGTGCAAATTTAACTACCAGGAATTTGGGATGATCGAAGCACTTGTGAACTAGAGTGGAAGCAGACTAGGTAAATACATGTAGAGGTGCATACAGTTCATACAGGAGATGATGTTAATCCTTAGAGATCCAGAGCAGGAGACAATGACACTGGGAGTCACAATTTGCCTTTGTCTCTTTGTGCAGGCTATAACTCGCTAGTAATTTGTTCCTGTTACAGCACATCCTCACTGTCATGCTCATCTTTGTGCTGTAAGTGTGGTGGTGGTGTCTTTGCTTACTGTCACACAGAGAGCTGGAAGCAACAGGTGCAACTTGCTCCCTTTACCCCTCATATCTGCCCTCAAACTGGTAGGAGAGTTACAGAAGGCTTCTTGTTTTATGAGCTGCTTCACAGGCTGGTCCCAAGCAGATTAGGTGGCTCATGGCTCCCCTTGATGTTGTCCCACAGCTTGTCCTGTCACTCTGGAGAGACTGCACGAGCCTCTGTCTGCAGTGCAGTTCCTCATGTGTGCACCCCACACAGGCCCTTTAGACTCACTGCTTAAACCTGCTCAAGAGCCACCAGCAGCTCACCCAATCACTCATGGCAAGCAAGATAAAGATGAAGCCATGAGCTCGGGTTGCACCCATGCCATACCTTAAGCATCCTAAACTACCTGCAAGATGAGAGCTACTGTCATCAATAATGCTAAAATGAAAGTGCAAAGTGTTGACTACTTTGGCTCTGGTTTAATTTTACTGAATCTTCCCATCCACAGGCTGCTTGGCCCATGTAAATGAAGGCAACCATGAACAACACTAATAAAAATTTGGTCTGGACACCTTGACAGAAATTCTTAAGAGTGTTTTTGATCTTGGTAGTTTTTTGGGGTTGGGTTTCTGGAATATTTTATTTTTTATTTATTTTTTATTTTTTTAGTAATCAAAACCAGTAATATCATCCAAAAAGAAGAAGAAAAGAAAAAAAGAAAGAAAAAAAAAAAAAAAAAGCAAAAAAAACCCTGAGGGGAAAAACCAAAAGACTACAAGGAAACACAGGGGACCTGGTTAAGACTTAATGATTGGGCTTACAAAAGCAGTAATTTTATTCAATCCAGATCTCAGACCCCCAGGTCTGGGGCACTTTGGAAGACAGCGTGTGCCTGCAGCTGCATCCTCCTGGTTTGCATCATTTCAGCTGGCCACCAGTGCAGGATCCTGGCTGCCAGCTGGCCTCACCACACAGGGGTGCACTGCTGTTCCACTTAACACCCATCTGAGCAGACAATGCAGATTTCACATATTTTCTGTTTACTCATTCAAACTCATGGTTAGGCAGACGCTAAGAGTATTATTATTTCATGATGCTGATCTTCATACATAAATATTAGATCTAAAGAGCAAAAACTGCAAGTGGGGTAAAAAGGTCACAGCTTCTTGATTTGTTCCTGTTTCCTTTGAAGTTATTAGGAATTTTGTCACTCTATCACAGTGGGAATAGGAATAGTTTCTTTTATGATCAAATAAGACTGGCTTTCATGTAATTAATTTCTGAGATCTGAAAACATTGTACAAATAATAAATATGTATATATGCCAAAGCTGTGTTAATTCCCATATACTGCTTATAAGGAAACCCTATGTATACTGCTTGTAAGAAAAGCATGTATTTGCCATTTTTGTCTAATATTACCACGTTATTTCTTGTCTCATGGCCACACATGTAGTTAAATTTATCTTCTTGACACACACATTTTGCTGGCTGCAATGGAGGTCATCTTGAGAAAGGATCTTTTTTTGGTCGTGTAATGTAAACTGCTGAAAGGTGGGATTCACGTGTCCCCTGCTGTTTGGGTAGTTTTGCATTGTCTGCACAGCAGTACAGTCCTATCAGTAAGAAATGGGATGTTTCCCTTTAATTGCCAGCATTTATCTAGAACATTTCACCTAAAAGGAAAGGCTCTGAGCAACCTGATCTAGTTGAAGACATTTTTACTCTGTGCAGTGGGGTTGGACTGGACCTTTACAGATACTTTCAAACCCCAGATATTCCTTGATTCTATGAAAATGTATAGGGCAAACTTGAACTCTAAAACTTGCAGAAAACATACAAACTGTGAGGAGGTTATAACGTTGTTAATCCAAATGGTGCAGCTGTATGACAGCCAGACCAGCCCCCAGTCTTCAGTTTGAAGGACAGGTTTGAAGGAGGCAGAAACCTCCCTTGAAATGGAGAACATGAACCCCTTCCCTCTGAATTATAACTTTGAAGTTAAGGGACTTTCAGGCAAAGATATGAGAAAAGGAATATCAGTTCTTTTCTACTGTGTGCATGTCTAACAAGGCAAACAAACAGCAACGCCGGCAGGAGCAAGAAGCAGGAGCAGAGGCCCAGCCCCAGCCCTCTCTGGGCCGCAGCCGCTTCCCCTCGTGCAGTTCCGGCACCGCCGCCAGGGGGCGCTGCCGTGACTCCCCCGCCGGCAGGGGGCGCTGTGCCGCGCCTCCCGCCGCCTCCCTCACGCGGGGATGGCGGGCGCTGCCGGCGGAAGGGATGGGAAGGGGCTTCCCTTACAAATCCCGGTGTCCCCCCGGATAGCGAAAGGGGTGCAGCAGGAAACTCGGAGCGGCGGCTGGAACGGCGGAAGGGGTTAACCCGGGGCAGCAAGCAGAAACTCCTGAAAGGAATGCTGGGTTTGTCTTTACAAACAAGCTGTGGGTCTGCTGATGAGATGAAACTATCACTGAGAGATAAAAGTAATGGGATGGATTCCACTGATGGAGTGAAAGATGAAAGGGGCACTGGGGAAACACCATAAATTCCACAAGAGTTAAGAATTAAGAGGGGGGTGGTTATACTTTAGAGGGGAATCTTAGGTATCAGGCATTCTGGGAAGTCTGCGCCTCTCAAGTACCTCAGCCTGTGGGGAAAAGAGAGAGAGACATGCGGCCGGCAATTAGGATGAAAAGCAGGCTGCGCCCTCCAGAAATCGAGAGACCCCAGGGGAACGCCCCATACTCTCTCCCTTTATTCAAATAAAGTAAAGGACTCCCCTGTCTCCTTTTTTTGGACATAAACCTCTGTTGTTTGTGGATTAATTTTCCTAACACTCCGCAGCTGTAGCTGGAGCCACGGGGCATCCCGGCAGGCAAGGGGTGTGTGGGTACAGTGTGGCGAAAAACTCGAGCGGTGGCTGGGGAAGTGGGCAGAGGCAGCCCGGCTCCCGAACACGGCTTCCCCTGAGTCACCCCGCCAGATGGTGAGGGGTCCTTTGCTTGGTGAAGTAGGGTGTTAATAAGGTCCCGGTGTAAGGGCCGCTCCCACGAGCAGAGCGCCACTCACGGTAGGAGGCAGAAGAAAACAGAACCCTACAGTGGTGGAGAATTCTTCCCACAGCGCCTGCAGAGTCCTTCCCCTCCAACTGCCGAGAGCAAAAGCCAGCAGCTGCATTCCGTCACCTTTTCCCCAGCCCAATTATCGCAGTATTTCTGCTCCTCCGGGAGAAACCCTCAGATAAGAGAGTAGCCAGCCTCACCCGTCCCGGGACAATTTATTTTATCTCTCTTAAGTGTACTGTCTCTTAGCAGTAAAATGGGAGAAAATTTCCCAAGACAAAGAAAGCAAAAGGAAAAACCCTGACCTCCAACAAATGATACTATGGTATCCACATCAGGGATTTAAGGCCTTATGCTTGCAGTGACATTATTGAACTGCTGCAGTTTTTCTCTCTGTACCAAGGAGTATGCTATAGACCTCTGCTGAGGTGAATCCAGGTCAGCTCTGCCTTCAGAGGGTGATTTTGTAAGATAGAGGCTGTAGCTGGCTCCTCATGAGGGGAGGATGTGTAACATAAAAGAAAACGTATGGGAACAAACTGATTTAAAATAACATACAATTAAAAAAGTGAAACACCTGGGTATTTATATTTTTTTAATAGTTCTTAGAATGCCTCATTTGTATGCATTGAATAATAGGAAAGGCAGCTGCTGAGGGATGGAAGTTTCTCCATGGTAAGATGGGGAGAAAACGATTTTCTATCCGTAGCTCTCCAGAAAATATCTGCAGAGTTTTGTCTTCTGTTGATTAAGAGTCAGCCTATTAATCTGTCGAACAAAAAAGAAAGGAAATGTAATACTAGAATGAGTTATAACACAAAGTGGTAAATACAGCCTACGCCCAAAGATACAGCCCCCCTAGTCTTTGGGAAAGATGGTAGTTAGGTTCAGATACCACAGCTTAGACTCATTTGGTTCTTACCACCCACATCATAGGCTTCTGCAAATTTCTTTCCTGTATTTCTGTTTTCAGTTCTTCTGATTATAAAGACCTTTTAAAATTGAATCTTATTACAATATATCACAGCAGTACCATTCACTTGATGATAGATTTTTTGAAGTAACTTATTATTTTTTTCTTCTGATCAAAGAGCTACCACAGGAAATCCGATAAAGAATCAGAGACTTCGTTCCCTGGAGTGAGTAGCACATTAATACTTTTCATATTTGTATTTGCTGTCATCAGCCACAGTACTGTTTCAGATTTGGGTAAGGGAGCCTTTTTTAATGTGGGAGGGTAGGACTTCAGGCAAACTTAAAACAGGTACCATTTGTCTTGCTTTATATCATCCTGGTTTTTAAAATTCCTTAAAGCTTTTCATTTTCTGTATGACCAGAAAATATTCAGTTCATCTCCATGTTCAAAGTGATGAACTCTGGAAAAAGCAAATTATCATTTGGTGTTAATTCTCTATAAGCAATCATATTTCCAGCAGTCAGATGACTTAAATTAAGGTGTTATTAAGCTTTCATGTGTAGAAGATGATATGTGTGCAGCTTTGAAAATGTAGAATAAACTCAGCGGTTTATTTTTCTTAAATATAAATACCTTTCTTGGACACCTATGTGTGATGATTTTTTAGATAGATGAGATTAAAAGAGGAGAAATGCTTGGGGAGCCTGCTTAGGCCTATCAGTGTTTACTGGCCGTTTACAACATGGTGCCAGACATCCAAAGTAGCCTCTGAGGCAGGTATTTGCACCCCTGTGTATGCGAATTAGCAGAGCACTCTCAGTCTGAAGCCTTTTACAGCAGAGCAATTATTGTGCTGGGATTTACAAGCTCCCAGCTCTGGCTTTAAAGGAACATAATTGTTTTTGGTTGTTTTGAGGATTTTTGGGTGTAGGGCTGAAACTGAATCAGAATCCTGAATGTTTTTCTTCAGCTTAGTGAGGCTGAAAATGCACTACATCACTTAAAGGAGGGGTTTCATTCTTCAAGTCTGCCCTCAAGTAATGGTGTGAGGTTATCTGTGCCAAAATGAAATGTATGGCTACATGCTACAAAAAATTGCAGCTGTCTTTGGTGTGCCAGTGGAGGCCATACAGCACTGCTGGTACTAACAAGCTGCTCTTCTGGGTTAATGGTGTCACAAAGGTGAAGCTGCAGCTATGTAGGATACCTCTGCTATGCCAGCATTTTCCTCTGCTATCATTAATACAATATGACACCCATTACTGCCTTTGGGGGACAGAGAAGGGAGAAACTGTGCTGTCACAGCAGATGCACTCTGATCTGGTTCCAAGGGGGATTGGGGTATTCCACTGACTGTTGTCTCAGATTTGGGTATGAGTGGTGGTGGAGCTTCTCAGCCAGGGCCTGTGACCTGCTTCTCCTCAAGTGCTTGGACCTCTGCAAGTCAGTACACTCTGAGCACTGTAGCTACAGAACAGCCTTGCCTGGGTTTTCCACACATCTCTGCTCTCTATGAGTATCCCATGTGCCCCATCAGTGGTTCTTTTCAGACAAGTGAAGCAAAAAAGTAACAAATGTATGACCTTGCCTCATTTTAACAAAACCCCTTTTTGAAATGCAATATGAATATAATGAGAGCAACACTTGTGTGGCCACACACGCAGTGAGTTGCAGCTCTTGTGCTGTACACTGGTACCTGATTCTGAACCAGACCATCTCTACAGGGGCAGGTAGAAAGATACAGCCACACTGCAGTCAGTAGGAGCCTTGGGTCTGTAATGAGAAGGAGTTGCTGAGGGGGTTGTAGCACTTGTGCTTCATTAGTCATCAGTTCAGCAAAGTACAGGGACAGGTGGGTTCAACTGGAGCCAGGCTACTGCTGGATTCACCTCCTTTTCTGGTGTCCCACAGTTCTTTAATTTGAAATTCTTAATTATTTGATTTATTCTGTTTTTTCCCTTAAGTGCTTTACACATTAACCCTTTCTCAGTTTATGCTGGGAAATTTTTCTCTATTTGTTTCCTGGGATCATAAACTGATTTAACATCTTGCAGTGACCTGGGTAGATCTATGCTCACATAGACAAGTGAGGTTGAGGCTATTTCCTTTGTAAGCACTGCAGTGATTTAATTTTTGTTTTCTACATCATTTTCTTGAAAAACTAGGTCTCCAAGGTGACAGAATTCTTCCTCATATGTATGTGCATTTTTGGAGAGGGATATAAAGACAATTTGCATGAAAAGATATATTAGTAGAGATGAGTGACATGCTATATGTACTCATAGCAGATCTGTGTTTTCTGCTTTCCCCCTACCTCTGCTATCAAAATTTTCTCTTATCACAGCTTTTTTTACATGTATAGGCTGGCAGTGACAGGAAGAGTATTGGAAATTGCCTGTTCTCAGTGACTCTTTATGATTCTGTGGCTAAATGTTATCATAATTAATGTCACAGCAGTAGATTTGAAAAGGTGAGACTGTAACCAGAGTTCAGAACTTTTCCAAAATGGTGATTTTAAAGGGTGACTCTGTTTTGCTAGATTTGAAATGCACACTGTACCTTGGCATTATATTAAGAGTCTGGATGCCTGATGCCTCTTCATGTTCAGTATCATGATATGGATTAAGTCCTTTATAGCAGTGGGGGTTTAAACCTGTTTTGCAGTGGATCTCTCACAACACTGAAGCTTTGGGTTTGGTTTTTTACAAGCAATTCAGAGCACATTCAGATACGAGCAAGTGGATTTCCCCACCACTGGTGTGAGACAAGGGCTAAGTTTTTTGTAGGAAATGTGTGAAGCAGATACTATTTTACAGGTGAAATAATTTCTGTCACTTAAATATAGAATTTGAAAATGTGGTTCTTGCTGTGATTAACTGCATCTCTCCTCACATCTGGGGCTGGCCACATTTGTAGCTGCTTGGTAATGGAGGGATCCACTTGGAATCATCAAAACAGCCAGGGATTTCCCAGACTGCTAACCAGATCTTGCAGCAATGCATCCAAATGCATGAGACAGCTCCAGGGCCTCATCTCTCACCGTAAGTGCAGACATGGCTGTTTGTCACCAATAAATAATGGAGACCCTGGGCTATTATGTGGCCCTGAGGACATGTAGCAATGTGTACAGCTCACATCTGTACAGCTCTTTCCTACCTGCTGGAAGCAGGGTGGTAATGCTGGTTATGTGGTGCAGTACATATCTCCAAATCATGCTTGGGCACTGGTGAGAGTGATGCCCTTTGGCACAGGTCAGAGTGTTTTAAGAGAAGCCCTGAGGCTGGTGAAGATGAATGAAAAGTGCATGTGAAAGCACTAGCAGAAATGGAAAAACAAGTGTTAGTGAAATAAATAGGTTAATCACTACAGGGCATTGTAGAGACAAATTCATTCAAAGAATTTGATAACAAGGAGGCAAAGAATAAACTAAAACCTGAATCTGTGGTAAAGAGATGAGGAGAAACTGGAGGGGTGCCACAAAACATCCTGATAAAGAAAACAACAGAACAATGTGAAACAGGAATTTAACCTTTAAGTTAAATATCCTGTCAGATCCCCCGGGTTCAAAAGGCACATACAGAGCACTGTTGTCACCAGAAGCAAACCGAAGAGTTGTGCCAAGACTTGGCAGCCAGTGGTACTGCACTGCTGCCTCACACACAGACTGTTTGGATGAGTGACTAGGTGCAGATGACCCATGGGACACCAAGGAAAACGGCTGTCACTTCGTTTTTCCTGGGATGGGGTGAGCTGAAGTGTCCTCATTGTCTCACAGTAAGTGAATCAATGTCTTTTACATAGTTTGAGTGTAGGAGCCTGGTCCTTCTTAAAACACCTTCTTTTAAGGAAATACCTTTGTCCAGATTCGTGTTAATATATTTTTAACAGATTATTAAGAGATTTTTTAGAAAACTGTTTGCTAGAGAAAACTTAGATGATGTCAAAGGAGAGAAAAATCAAGTGGTTGTGTTAACAGTGTCCGTAGCTGTCAGAGTGGCTTTTACATGCGGTAAGAAATAATATCTAGACACATATTTTTAGTACTTGATCCTGTGCCATGATAGAAACAATCTTCCATTATTCAGGCATGCTGGTGGAGATAGAGCTACTGATTTCTAATTGTTGATTAAAAGTAGTCTTCTGTGTGGTGCTACCTGTAAAAAAGGGACTATTATTATTATTATTACTATTATTACTATTATTATTATTACTGATAATATGGTCAGATGGTTACTTTATCAATTATTCTTGAACCACTTGTGTATAAAACTTCTCAAGGTTTGAGTGTTTCTTTCTCAGCTTCAGTGTATTAGTCCTCAGCATGATTCACAAACCTGAAGGTTAAACACGATTTGTGCTCAATGCAGAATTTCCAAGATGAAGTAAAATCAATTGCAGGGTAAAATACTTTGTCTAATATATTTCACAAGTATACTTCACAAGTATATTAACATTTGCGACACTTTTGTCACAAAAGAGAAGCTGTTATTCTTATTTTACTGAGTTTTCACTTGATGCTTTCACGGAAGAACAAAGACAACGCTTCTAGTCTAGACACATGAGACAAACTGTGGTGAAGTTTCTCACACTCTAGTTTCAACTGCCAGAGAGCTTTCCGGAGAGGGATTTTGTTCTAAGTATGGGGAACATATATTTGGCAATATAAGGGCAGATTTGATTAATCTTCATAATGGCTAAAATTTCTACTCTGGTAGAATTGTTCAATGTTTTCATGGCCAATCTCTTTCTAGCAGGCCCCATCAACATTTGTCTGGATTAGCATGAATGCAGAGTTTAGGTAAATCTAGAGATTGAACTGATGCGTCACTTTTGCAGGTGTGTTAGGGGAAAATAATTCAGTTAGAAGGGTGTACATTTTGTATTACACATTTTTCTAGTCAGGCACTTCCAGCGCCTTCTACAACACCAGCCGTGGTATCAAAGTGACTTGGTAACTAGATTAGGTATTATATTTTATATTATTGTATATTGTATATTAGGTATTATATTGGGTATTAGAGGACATCTAAAGTCACAAATAAGGCTGCCTTAGTTTTTTTTTCTACTCATCTAGGTGTAAATTGAAATGCAGACGGGAATACAGAAGCTGTTTTGGAAGATGATAATTTTGTTTCCCGTGTGCTTCCCCCATTGCCTCTCCCTGCTGCCTGCAGAGAGCATGGGCTTCCAGCTGGATTGTTGAGGGACTGAGTGAGCAGGAAG